GCTTGTATGTCTTGCATGGCAGTACTGTGACAGGTTCAGTAGCGGTATCCTCATCGATGTCTGATGCGAATCTCACTCAATTATGGCATATGCGTCTGGGGCATATGAGTGAGAAAGGCATGCATCTCCTGAGCAAGAAAGGTCTCCTTGGTGGTTCAGGTACGGGTAAATTACAATTTTGTGAGCATTGTATTTTTGGGAAACAAAAGAGGGTTAGTTTCTCTACTGCTACACACCGTACCAAAGATGTATTGGAATACATACATTCTGATTTATGGGGACCAACTAAATTCCAGTCTATGGGAGGCTGTAGATATTTTATGTCTATTATTGATGACTATTCTCATAAAGTCTGGGTCTATTTCCTGAAACATAAAAATCAAGCGTTTTCTATTTTCAAGACGTGGAAAATACTTGTTGAGACTCAGACAGGTAAAAAAGTCAAGAAGCTCAGGACAGACAATGGCTTGGAGTTCTGTGAGTCAGATTTCAATGACTTTTGTGCGGCAAATGGAATTGCCAGGCACAAGACCTTGCCTGGTAAACCCCAGCAGAATGGTGTTGCCAAACGTTTGAACAGGACTCTATTGGAAAGAGCTCGTTGTATGCTCTCTAATGCTGGGTTATGGAAACGGCGTGATTTTTGGGCCGAGGCCGTTTCTACTGCTTGCTATTTGGTAAATAGATCTCCACATTCATCCCTTGATTTCAAAATTCCAGAGGAAGTTTGGTCAGGTAATCCTGTTGACTACTCTATCTTAAGAGTTTTTGGATGTCCTGCTTATGCTCATTCCAGTACGGGTAAATTAAACCCGAGAGCTGTCAAATGCATTTTCCTTGGTTATGCTTCTGAGTCAAAAGGGTATCGTCTATGGTCTCCTGATTCTCGGAAAATTATTCTGAGTCGAGATATCACTTTTGATGAAAATGCACTACTTTCTTCTGGAAAAGTTCCCAGTACAGGTGAGACGCAAAGTACTGGTGAGAAGGTGGAGTTTGAGTTCAGGCCTATTGATAGTGTTACTACTGCTGATGGTAATACTAAGGATGATGCATCTACTAGCACCGCACCTCTCGTCGAGCCACAACGAGAGTATTCCATTGCTATGGATCGTTCTAGGAGGACAATTAAAAAACCTGCTAGGTACGCTAGTGACGATGAAACCAATATGGTTGCTTATGCACTTTCAGTCACACAGGAAGTTGATGGTGATCCATCCTGCTATTATGAGGCTCTTCCTGTTGCTAAGTTCAACCAGTGCTTGAGTTTGGTCGGCTGTTCCAATTATTAATTTTTCACAATGGATTTGACCCAAGGTGGAGATTGTTAAGAAAATAATTAGTGGCTCATATCCATGAAGACATTTTCCCTCTTTTGTTGGCATTGCATGCTCCATGTCCATCTTGCATGTCTTCCGTAACTTGCTCTCCTTCTTGCAATTGCCGCATCTTTAGTTCATTTCTTATTGTATAAATAGCATTCTTTATTTGCTTTGTAAATGCACTCATTTTTCTTACATCAATTTGAATACATCAATTGTAATTCATTTTTCTTTGTCTTCAAGTAGATATATATATTATATTCTTCTTCTCAATTCCTCTTTGAGTTATAATATATATTATATATTTTCCCATTTTATTATATTCTTTGTCATTTATATATTTTCCCTATTATTTAACTTCTATAATTCTCAATTTTTGATTCTTCACTTCCGCATTATTCCGCTATATTCCTAACAAAAACGATATCGTTTTTGCATCAGTATGCACCATGCATGGTGCATACGGATGCACAACATAACTATCCGGCACTGATCCTCTTGCTTAATGGGTCACTGAATTATTGTCATTTACTACTTATACAAATCTTGTCAAGTCAGAATTATATTTCATATTTTGTGGGTAAAGAAAGAATTGGCCCACCGTTTCATCTCTCTATTAGTGACAAAAACATAGTTCCCACAACGAACAATGGGCCCCACCCATGAAGCAGTGTAGCTTTGTAGTGTTGTACGTTCTCTCTCTCTATATATCTCTTTTATGGCTTATCACCTCACACAGTTTACTAGTCTGCTGCTTCATGTGAATTGAAGCTTGCTATGATGTGATTGTGACAATGATATTACTCATTAGCACTAGATAATTTAAAGCTAGGGAGGAAAATCAAGAGATCCAACAAATGTATTCCTCATGTATGTATACCAGAATTTTTTATATCATACCATATTTTCAAAATAAAAATTTTTCTTAAATTTATTTATGTATAATTTTAAAGAGAATAATAGTGATATGTGACAAAATTCTTTAAACTAAAATAGAAAATGCTATTTGTACTTTTAAAGTATCATGTAATATGTATTAATTTGATGGAATAAAAAGAAAAAAAAAAGAATTTCGCAAAATTAATAATCAACAAACACATTAGAATTAAAAAGTATTTTTATGCATCGAATACAATTGAAAAGCATTTTAGAATGGTACCAGATACTGCAAGAAGTAGTGTATTCATAATGCCCAATATAATCAAGAAAGCATGTATTTTGTCTGTATTGGCTTAATTTAGTGGTTTAACAGACAGTATTTGAGAGAATAGACCAAGATTCAAAATTCGATAGTGACGGTATGAAAATTATTTTAAAGTAAGAGATTTTTGTGCGCAATAATATTTGGCATTATTGTCTGCTGATCAACAATTGTGCATAGGATAGGCAAGTGCCCCACTCACTATGAGCATTAACTCTAAAGAATCCATCCATACGCAACAATTATATATATATATATATATATATATGGCCCCATAAAAAACCAACAATAATTGCTATGGCAGATCCTTAGAAGACAACAATTATATATATATATATATATATATGTATATATATGGCCCCATAAAAAAACAACAATAATTGCTATGGCAGATCCTTAGAAGAGAAGTTGTCCCAGGACAGGCATTACAACATGGCAACATCACTAATGGGGTGTTTGGTAGGATAGAATAGTAATTCTATGGTTTGATTGGAGTGAATTACAATTCTTAGGATTTTTCCTAATAATTGTAATTTCATACGGTAGAATTATAATTACATAATAAATGACTTATTATTATTATATAAGAGTATTTTAGTCTTTATTCATTTCCCTTTCAATTCTCAATCATTATATCTATCAAACAATGTAATTTAAATTAATACATTATTATTATTCTATTGAATTATAATTTTTTTCCTTTTAATTTCCTCTTCCCAACCAAATACCCTGGAAAAGATTACATGCATAAAAAAATAGGCAGAAAAGAGAAATTCAGAGTTAACCATTAAGCCATTAATTAATTAATATGAGCTACACATCCGCACATTATATATACATCTTTCAATCAATACATATATCTATATATGTTCCAAAGATGCTGTCCAGAAAACTTCTATTTCAGCCCTCCTAAAAGAGAAGAAAAACCAACCTTCGCTGTCCTAACCCCAAAAATACAGAAGAAAGATTCAAACTTCACATTCTTCTTTCTCATTTCTTAGCTACACTCCTAGTCATTCAAAACAATGATCATTCTATCTCAGGTAGTGATGGGCTATATATCTTCACTGCTGGCGTGCTTGGGGTGGGGGTATATGTTGATTTTGTGGTTGATGTTACTGGGGCTGAGATGGCTCTTTGAGGCAGGAAAATTATGCAAATTCCCATTCACAGCATTTCCTTGAGGTCGTTTCCGCTGGTTCCGCCAAAACTCAGCCTACGTCTACTCTTTTTCTTAATACAAATTAGTACAAGATGAGCAATTGTGTGATAAGTACAGTCATATTCCTCAAGATTTTTCACAACCCAACACTTGTTACTCTGTCCCTTTCTACTAATAATCCTAGTAGAGAAAAGATAGGATTGTTCATAATCTCCAACTATAAGACTCGCGTGGGACTTCTCGTTGAATGTTGTAGTCCTTTGAGCTTGATCTTGCAAAGTTGCTTTGGCTATCTCTTCACTGGTCTACTGGATGAAAACTTGTTTGCTTTGAAATGCATTTAGATTACTTGTTCGCAAAAATGGCAAGCACCTCTCTAAGACTTCAATGAAGGTATTTATAGACTTGTTTAGAAATTTATCTGTTGGAGGGAAACAAATTTCAAACGTTTATTGTCTTGTGGGTAATGTAGTAGGTTGCTTTTTGTCATATTTTCAATCGTTAGAAGTATTGTCTGCGTCTGCTCCTAGCTTTCTAAGCTGTGCAAAATGTCTTGCCTTTTTCGAAAATTTTCCTTAAGATGTGTACCTATGACTCCTTTTGCCTTGGTAACATTCTTCTTGTATTATGAGCTTTTGGGAATGTTTACTATTTGGTCAGAGAATGTCCGAACACTATATGCAAAATGGTAACCTTTGACTTCTCGTAGTTAACCATTCGAATCCTTCCTCAGCAACCTCTCAAATTTGACTTAGTCCATCCTTAACTATCCGAAAATTAACTTCTTGCTTAAGTTAACTTTTCATGCCCCCTACTTTCCGGTTAAGATTGGCCATTTCACTTTTCGATCATTGAACCTTCCGGTCTTCAACTTTTCACTGCTTCAACTCTTCGGTCTTCAACTATTTGTAGTCTTGGATGATATTTTAGTTTCTCAAAAATAACTTAACTTTTTGTAGGTCACTTTTCGAATTTGTTTACTTTATGGATGAATTGAATTCATGGTTATTAGTAAGTTTCATTCTTAAAGTGACATTTTGAAGACTAAAAATATCCTAAGGTTACTTTTTGACTTTGTTTTCTTTCTGGTTAATTAACATTCCAATTAGTAAAGTTCATTCTCTAAGTTAACTTTCAAATTTCTATTTCTAAAAATAAAATAGGGACTAAAATTCCTAACATAATTAGGCATCACCAAAATCTAAAAACACTTGTTCCTAACATTCCTCAATATTGTAACAACTACTATACATTCGCAATGGCATCTGCATCACATTGCTATAATATATATATATATATATATATATATATATATATAACCCGAACTGAAATGCTCACTTCTAACTACAATAACCAACAACTATATATTAAATGTAAATTAGACTTTTAAAACAAAAATGTAATAAGCTAATATATATCAATAAGTTACTCAAAGTATCTTTGTCAGTTTTAATTAACTTATTGGCATCAATAGGCCAAGTTAAAAAGCTGTTTATATTGTTTACCAAACACTAAAGTTGGTCATACATGCTAGTATATATCAATCAAATTTACCCAAGCAACTTGAGCTTCAAAGCAGCCAATTCCCTCTCTTGCTGTTTCTTGAGATGGCGTTGTGCAGTTGCATTCAAAATTTTAGCCAAAAAGTTGAATATCATGATGCATACAACAGCATTCCATGCAGAAGCAAGGGAGTAGTACTCCCAATGGCTCACCTGTCAATGCAAAGTTAAAGAAACTAAGAATATGCATGCATGCTTGCATGATATGATGGATAATATAATTAATTAGCTAGACATATAAGCAATTCAAGCAACCTTAACATTTGAAGACGCATGAAGTTTGGTTGTCATGTAACGGTCCTTCATGGAATGAAGCTTGGCTACGAGTTTTGGTAGGATGGAATCAACTCCAGGCACAGAGCTACCAACCCACATCAACTCATTTTCGATCCATTCCAGAAGCTGATTATTGCACACTAATATAACAAAAGCTGCCTGCAAATGAGCTAGCTACTTAATCAGATCTCCAGATCACATGATAAAACCACTGAAATGATCCAAATTTGCATAACTAACTAGTATTAGGTCTTCTCTAATAATTAACAATTACTCCCTCTCTCTCAGTCTCTCTCCATTTACTTTTTGTACTGTTTTAATGTTACTAAACAAATGTTACTAATAGTAAACATGATAGGTAAAATGAGACCGAAGGAGTATGGTAACTAGTTATGTTCAATTTTGAAAAGAAAACACTATTTTAGGACAAATGGAAAAGGAATGTAAGGCAGGTAAAATGGGACGGAGAGAGTATTTAATTGTAATAAGGAAAAGAAATTGAAGCAGAAACTGAGACTTTAATTTGGGAGCGGAGATGCACACAATCACCTGCATATAAGTTTTAATGATACCCTTTCCAACCAAAGTAGCAATAAAGAACTTCCAGAAAGGAATGCCAAATTGTCCACACATTACACCAGCCATGTCAAATAGCGGATTAGGCACCTAAAAAATTAATCAACACCATAAACAATAAGCTTAATAAAGACATGCATGAAGTAGCTTAGCTTGAAGATAACGTACTACAAACAATTAACGCCACCACATTCTTAACCCACATACACTAAAATATGAAATACTGTTTGGGCGGAAGTCAGTAAAGGCCAGTCTAGTACTCGGTGGTTAGGGGATTATTAGGCGAGGTCGGTAAAGGGTTTAAAAGATCAAGTTTAGCACTTGGTGTCTCAAAAATGTGCATTAGTATAAGAAAATAAAGTTGCGCCTTCACTATGAGCTATAATTTTTGGCGTAAGTGGTAAGCGCTTGATCCTAACAAGTTGGTATCAAGTAACGAGATTATTGAGTGGAGGTCAGTAAAGGGTTTAAAAGGCCAGTGTGAGGTATAGCTTTTGACAGAAGTGGCAAGCGCTTGATCTAACAAATACACAAATGAAAAAACCTAAGTCAGGAAAAATGAAATGAAAATCTTCCTCCGCTCCTTGGATACCCTTTCTCTTTTCTCATTCAGATTTTAAAATGGTAAAAATTGCATTTTTAGTGTGATGAGGCTAAGGATTTTGCAGTCGTTATATTATAGACCGCGGTGCACCGCGGTCACGACGCCGTTTCTTTAAGTAAAGAAACGGCCCGCCGTTAGAGTTAACGGAGTCCGCTTGTTTGGTGTATTAAACACCAACTGACACTACAGTATATTCAAACCGACATTGCAGTTATATCAAAATGATACTGTAGTTATAGTGAAATGAAACTGCAGTGTATATAAACTGAAACTGAATAACATTTCACATATTTGAGTGTATATTGTACAATGAAGCTGTAATTATATCAAAATGATCATGTAGTTGTGTTTTAATGAAACTATATTGTATATAAAATAAAATTAAATAACATTTTCACATATTTGAGTCTATAAATATCGAATGAAACTATAGTTATATCGAAATGAAACTGTAGTTGTGTTCAACTGAAACTGCAGTGTATACAAAATGACACTGAATAACAGAGTTACTTTTTACAAAAGGGTGCAAAACGGCGGAAACAAACACTGTTTATTTTCATTTAAAAAAGACGCGCGGTGCATAATCGATTATGCACCGCGGTGCATAATATAATTTGCCAGGATTTTGGGATCAAATCAATAAGTGAAATAGGCCAAGAAAAAGGGAATTAGGCCAGTAACACCAAAAATATGAGGCCGGCCAAGCACAAGATCAATTGGACCAGGGTCTAATATACAGAATTTGACTTCATAATATATAAAACTGTTGTTCATAATGCACATAATTCATATTCATAATACACATACATAAACATGATATAATGAACGAATTCTGTGCATTATGAATATGGATTCTGTGTATTATGTTAAGTGTTTATGTATCTTCATTATATCGTGTTTATGTGTAAGTGTATTATGAACATGGATTCTGTATATTATGAAGTCAAATTTTGTGTATTGGACCAGGGTCCACAGTGCACTGTGAATCCTGGTCCATGATATAAATTGACTGTGGACCTTGGTCCATGATATAAATTGCCACACAAGATGCATGGTAAATTTTTATCTGGACCATGGTCCACATAACTCTATATAGATTCTAAAAAAAGTATATTTTTAATATAATAAAAGTATATTATTTGTGTACTTAACAACTTAATGTACAACTAAAGACCTTGTTGTTAAGTGGCATGAGGTGATTCTCTCAAGTGGGAAGTCATGAGGTTAAGCTTCCCTGGAGGCGGTATTGACTTGTTAAGCTTCAGTAGCTTAAGAAAGTATATATGAATAGATACTACATATAATAGGGTACATGGTACTTTAAAAAAAAAAAAAAAAAACCTACTTAATGAACATTACATAAAAAAAAATATTTTTAGTATTCAAATAATACACTTTCTTTGAATACAAAATACATTTTTAATATGTTAAAAATATATTATTTGTGTACTAAATGTATATTCTATGATAATATATTAAATAATATACTTCAAATACTTAAATAATATATTTTTTGTACATAAATAATATATTTTTTATTTGTGGTCCACACAATCATGCAAACGACTTGCCAAGATGCATGGGAATCCTAAGGAGTAATCCTAATATGTCGTCTAAGATAAGAAGCCAAGAAGGGTGTAGAAGGAATAGGAATTAAATTCTTGTCAGGAATCTTGCATGTACTTACCTTAGCTTGTCCGAATAGGACAGCTTGCATAAATCTATTCCTATAAATAGAACTCTTGTGCGTAATAATTTCTCTCATATAGCTATAATATCTTCCTACAAGTTGTGCATAATAATTTGGTATTCAACCCCTATAATTGGAAATCCGAGCTCCATCATAGTCTAAGTTATAGGGAACATTACAAATTGGTCCCGTGATAATTAGAAGTTAGAACAAGCCAATGTTTTCCTTAAATTAGTGATTTTGGTGAATCTGCTAATCGAGCCTTACTTTCAGTCCATTGCATGTAAAGAGCTATCCTCGTTCATCGTCTCATGGCCACTTTCTCTAGTATACTCTTGGTTGTGCGGAGACTGATAATATAAAAGTCAAGTTTAGCACGTGGTTGGTGATTGTTGGGCGAAGGTCAATAAAGGGTTAAATCTAACCCCCAACGTCTCGAAAATGTGTGATGGTATAAGGAAATAAAGTTGCAAATTCGCTAATAGCTATTGCTTTTGGCATGAGTAGTAAGAACATCCACATCTGTGAATTATGCACGGTTTTTAAGAGAAGAAGAGCCAACATAAAGGAGAGAGAGGCAAGAGAGAGCGGGTTGAGGTTTCTCTGCAAGGGTGTGGTTTTTGGCAGAGATGTAGGACCCACAACAGAAATGGAGGCGCGCTAACAATTACTTTTTTTTTTTTTTTTTTTAAATCAATTTTTTTCCCTCTCTTTTTATCTTTCCTAATCACACTAATAAAAACTCCTCAAAAATCACAAAGAAAAAATCTAATTATTATGGATGCTCTAAGAGTTTGATTCTAATAAGTGATGTCAGAGCCAAACCGCAGGTTTGAGTCCCATAACATTTAAGACTAGTTGGTGTTAGGAGGGGAATTGCTGGGTGGAGGCCGGTAATTAAAGGGCAAGTCCAGATAACTAGGGAATTGTTGGGTGGAGATTGGTAAAGGGCAAGTCCAGCAACTGATAACTAGGGAATTGTTGGGCAGATCGTAAAGGGCATGGTTGCAGTAGGCGTTAGGCGCTAGTCGGGCGCCCGGACAGCGCCTGGCGCCTAGGCGGTCTAGGCGGCGCCTAGGCAGAATCTAGGCGGGCGCCAAAAAAACAGTGGTAGACTTGCAGTTTGACAATTTTAATGAGGTTGTTTTCAACATTTAATCAAATAACACATCCAAATAAATGAATTAATGATAATTCATAAGTCATAACATCAAAACAATGGTTTTCAAAAAAAAAACATTAAAACAATATTAAAAATTAAAAATACTCATATATGAAATACTCAAATACTTCAATCATCCAAAGATTCAAAGTATCAAACTAGTCTACGAGTGTATATATGTCATATTATATATATATGTATGCGCGCGCGCGCACACACATATATAATAAAAAAATAGGTCGAGCCGATCGGATTAACTCGACCGAAATGGACGAGTTAACTCGACTAACTTAGACGCTAGGCAGCCAAATCGGCCGAGTTAGGCGCTAGGCGGATGCCTAGGCGGCCGGTAACCTAGGCGGGCGCCTAGAGGGGAAATCGCCACGGTCTAGAGGCGCCTAGACAGATTTTTACAACCCTGGTAAAGGGCCAAGTCCAGCACACAGCCTCTCTTTCGCTATTAGCTATGGGGTAAGTGGTAAGGAAAAAAAAGTTGTTTCTTCGCTACTAGCTAGCGCTTTTGGTGTAAGTGGTAAGAGTTTGATCCTAACATTTCAAATCAACACATACGATGAACAAAGATGAAAATAAAAATATATAGAGTTGAGAATCACTAACTGTAGCCAGGATTATGATTGTGAGCAGGTTCATATTTTGTGCATGTGAAAGAAAGCATTGCTTGATTTTATTTATACGAGTAACTAGAAATCCAACATCTTCTTCAGTGGAGGACATTTCCAAATCTTCAACTTGAATGTTTGAATTTCTTGCTGCAAAAGATAAGTGATATAATATCAAGTGAAAGAAAGTGTAAGTTTTGATATAATAATAATCCATTTGTGTACATATATATATATATATATATATACTAACCTGCTCTTGAAACAAAATATGAAGGAATCTCTCCTAGGGCTGTCCCAAGTCCCCTCAAAATGGCTTCTAATTGCACCTGCTGTAATATAGTGGTGAGTGGAACCGAATGAGAAAATAATGGAGGTCCAAACTCTGAACAATTCTTGCCCATCCATGAAGGGCTTCTGTTAAACTGCATTGTATCATATGGAGCAGTTTTTAAGTCAACTCGCCCACACTTCATTGCTTTTATAGTGAACAAAGCAATGTGAGGACCTAAATACAGAACAAATGTGTGCAAACCTGACCCTGCACATAAGCCCAAAAATCATATCAGACAGAGAAGATGCTTGCTAGAACGCATATATACCAGGGCAGCCACCAATTGTTGGACTTGACCCTTTACTAGCCTCTACCCAACAATTTCCTTTTCGATGGCACTTGTCCGTTTTAATTGCACTTTACAGGTTCCCGCCAAAAATTACTTCTTAGGATAAACGCTTACTAGCCAAAAACTATAGTTGGAAGCAAAAACACAAATTTATTTCTTTATATACCGAGAGGTAGAGTGTTGGACACAATTCCCTAACATAACCATCAATTGTTGGACTTGCCCTTTTATCGGCCTCCGCACAATAATTCCCTTCTCAGTTTTAAGTGCACTTTACCGGCTTTCGTCAAAAGCTACTTCTTAGGATCAAACGCTTACTACTACGCCAAAAGCTATAGCTGTAGACACAAATTTATTTCTTTATATACTGAGAGGCTGGGTGCTGGCAAAGTATTGTGTGAACCATGAACATCAAGAACATTTTTAATATATTAAAAGTACATTATTTTTGTACTAAAGGTACATTATTTTTGTACTGAAGGTACATTATATAAAATAATGTACCCTTAGTATATTAAAAATGTACTTTAAAAAAATGTACCTTATGTAGATAAATAATGTACTCTTAGTATATTAAAAAATATACTTTTTATTTATGTTCCACACAATTGTGTGGACCGTGATCCATGCAATAATGACGCAAATTATGCCATGGAATCGTGTTCACCGAGAATGGTGAACACAAGGCAAAACGACGTGGAAAATTTCGCGGATGTGGAGTTAACGGCGCGCGTTTGATCAAATTATGAATTTTCTGTTATGAGATTATGAATTTTATGAAAGTTCATAATCTCATAACAGAAAATTCATAATCGCATAACAGAAAATTCATAATCTCACAACTGAAAATTCATAATCTCATAACAGAAAATTTATAATCTTATAACAGAAAATTCATAATCTCATGGTTCCAAAGTGAATGTGTAGGCATGGTTCCAAAGTGAATGTGCAGGCATGGATTCATAATTTATGAATGTCCGTGATTTCGGACGGGAATATGTAGGCATGGTTCCAAAGTGAATGTGCAGGCATGGATTCATAATTTATGAATGTCCGTGATTTCAGACGGGAATATGTAGGCATGGTTCCAAAGTGAATGTGCAGGCATGAATTCATAATTTATGAATGTAATGAAAATTCATAATCTCATAACAGAAAATTCATAATCGCATAACAGAAAATTCATAATCTCATAACTGAAAATTCATAATCTCATAACAGAAAATTCATAATCTCATGGTTCCAAAGTGAATGTGTAGGCATAGTTCCAAAGTGAATGTGCAGCCATGGATTCATAATTTATGAATGTCCGTGATTTCGGACGGGAATGTGTAGGCATGGTTCCAAAGTGAATGTGCAGGCATGAATTCAAAAAAAAAAAAAAAAAGATAACGGTGTACTAACACCGTTAGAACCGTGTTCACCATTTCCATGGCATAACGTCTGCAATAATGATTGCAGGTGCTTGACTTGGCCATTCATGGGCCTATGCCCTACAATCACTTAACCATCAATTCTTGGACTTAACCCTTTACCGGCCTCCGCCCAACAATAATCCTCCCCGGTTCCAAAATGAAGCAAGAAATTAAAGACAAGGGTGACGGCTGAGAAACTATTTAGCCTTACCAAATCCAATAGATGATGCAACACCAAGGGCCACCCACCATAATCCATATTGAGCATACTCAAACACTTCTGTTAAATAATGCTGCATAAGTGTAACCCATACAGCAAACACAGCTATTCCACTCAAAAGTGTAAGCCATACAGCACGAGCATGTGACAAAAGATATGTGAACCACTGCCTCAGGTACTGTAGTACAACCAAAATGAAAAACTTCACTGTTTTCAAGGGCTGTGTCACAACAGTCAAGTTTTGCAATTCCTGTTGATGCTTTGATTCGAGGCCTGCAAACAACAAACATCAATTATATCTATATCGATGAAAGACAATAAGTTTTGAGAAAATATTGATGTACCATTCTTCATTATAGTCCAATTATATCTTTACTTTAAGTTTACACAAATAATTCACCCAACAATCAAATTAACCATCCAAAAATGTGGTTACCCAAGTGATATTATTGTAACATCTAATATTTGCATTGCAATAGAAACAACAAAGATACCAAAGAGAAGAAACATACTTGCAATTAACAAATTATTTGAAGAAACAGCGTTTTCCTTGGAAGCCATTTTGTATTCTCCGTTTGTTTTCCTTTTCTTCTCTACGTGCTCTGATCTCTGCTGTCATCTCATTGTGCCTCTCTCCATGTGTGTTTCTTTTATGTTGTCTGAGCTTCGTGCGGAGTATACGATGAGTCTAGAACTGGGGGTTAGTGGGATTACAGAGAGCTAGCGATGAAATTGATGAATAAAAGAAGCGCTTTTCCTAAGCTAAGCGATTTAAGTTTTGAGTTAGGTGTCAGGGAAAGTAAACAATATTTAAAATATTGATTGATGAATGGAGTTGTTACTACCATCTCTAACGCAGTAACACGCCACCTGCAAGAGTGAAGAAATTGGAAAATGGTGTATTTGAGTAAGTTAGATTGAAGCAGGTGTGAGAGTGTTGTATTTGTCTAATATAAGGATTAAGAATATGAGTTTGTCTCATATAAAGAATAGGAGTGAAAGGGAGATTATATGCCTATAAATATATTGAATATATCTCATCACCTGGTACACCATCACAAATAATAAGAGAATACTTTCACTCCTGTGGATGTAGGCACATTGTCGAACCACGTAAATCTTGTATTCTTTACCTTTCTGCCATTATTATTTTTCTTGTTCTTGTTAATCTCAACAAATTGGTATCAGAGCACTGTTGAGATGACCAGTTCAAGTACAAAATTCGAGGTATCAAAGTTTGATGGTACATGCAATTTTGGGTCATGGCAATCTAGGGTAAAGGATTTGTTGGCATATCAGGGCCTTCTGAAAACCTTGAGGGCGGAAAATCCAGCAAATCTGGAAGAGGTTGATTGGAAGGAGTTGAAGAAGCAGGAAGCTATGAACGTGGTTCATGCGGATGACTCTTATTATAGTGAAAGTGATGTTCTAGCGGTAACTAGTAACAAGTTTGAACATTGTTTGGACTTGTTGGGTGTTTCTAGATGCTAGATGAGAAAGTGGTGAGGGGCGCTGTGGTATTGGGCAGCGCGGATACCAGGAGGGGTCGCGGACCTGGTATGGGCCAGTATGGCACTAGCATGGGTCGGGCTTGGCATAAGTCATGGATCTGGTTTGGCCGGATGCTTCAGGATGAAGCGGTTCGTGAACATGCACTGGGAACGTTTGATGCTGCGTGGTGCGTGTTGCTAGCTAGTGGCAATTACTGGTTAGTGGAGCATTGGGCAAGGCACATGGGTTTAGTGTGACTTTGCAGGAGCGCTGTTGTGTTAGGGGCAGCGTGGACACCAGGAGGGGACATGGACCTGGTATGGGCCAGATTCAGGAGGTCAGCTAAACGGGACAGTAAGCATGAGTTGCGGCTGGTATAACAGGTCGACGGCTGATGGGCGAATGGCTTGGGACAAAGCGGTTCGTGTACATGCTGGAAAATGTTTGATGCTGCACGGTGCATATGGCTGGCTAGTTGGGATAAACATGGTTGTTCCTACCCATGTGTATATGTGAGATAAATATTTTTCTCCTAAAGGGCATATTTGCGAAGGTGGAGATGGTTAGATAAGTCTTTTCTCCTAAGGTACATATTCGCTAAGGTGGAGATCTGTTGAGTTATCTTTTCTCCTAAGGGACATATTTGCCAAGGTGGAGATAGTCTTTCTCCTAAAGGGCACATATGTGAAGGTGGAGATGGTGAGATAAGTTTTTTCTCCTAAAGAGCATATTCGTCAAGGTGGAGATTTGTTGAGTTATCTTTTCTCTTAAAGAGCATATTCGCCAAGGTGGGTTGTCTCATATATGGATTAGGAATATGAGTTTGTCTCATACTAGGAGTAAGAGTGAAACGGATAGACCCCTTGTACAGGGATTAGATGCCTATAAATATATTGGTTGTATCCCTAAGGGGTTGTGTCACCACTATCACCATCACTATGAATAAGAGTATTGTTTCACTCCCGTGGACGTAGGCACATTGCCGAACCACGTAAATCTTGCCTTCTTTACCCTTTTTGCCATTATTATTTTTCTTGTTCTTGTTAATCTCAACAAATTGGTATCAGAGCACTGTTGAGATGACCAGTTCAAGTACAAAATTCGAGGTATCAAAATTTGATGGTACAAGGAATTTTGGGTTATGGCAGTCTAGGGTAAAGGATTTGTTGGCACAACAGGGTTTTCTGAAAACTTTGAAGGCGGAAAAGCCAACTAATCTGGAAGAGAATGATTGGGATGATTTGAAGGAGCGTGCGGCAGGAACCATTCGGTTATGCCTGGACGATGGAATTGTGTATCACGTTATGGCCCTGGAAGCCCCAAAAGAAATTTGGGATAAATTGGAAACTCAGTTCATGGAAAAATCTCTAACGAACAAACTGTATCTAAAGCAAAGGCTTTATGGGCTTAAGATGCAGGAGGGTTCAGACTTGGTGCATCATATTAATGTCTTCAACCAGATAATCTTAGATCTGGCCAGGCTTGATGTCAGGATTGAAGATGAAGACAAGGCGATGATCTTGCTATGTTCATTACCTTTTTCCTTTGAACATCTGGTGACTACTCTAACATACGGGAAAAACACGATTAAATACAGCGAGATCTCTGCGGCCCTGTAGGCTCATAATAAGAGCATGCAGAGTGTAGGAGATGGATCGTCTGTTGGTGAAAGTTTGTATGCTAAAGAGGGTCAGGATCGTGGAAGGAAGCAAGAGAAGGGTAATCCTGGGAGGAGAAACTCCAGGTCTAAGTCCAGAAATAGCAGGAAAATCCGGTGCTACAAGTGTAATGAGATTGGACACATTAAGAGAGACTGTCCAAAGTTGAAAAAACAACAAGAGGCGGCTAAAGGGCACTATGGAGCATGGTATTGTATTTGGGAGTCAACAGAATGAGCATGTACTCATGGGATATGTGGATTCTGATTATGCTGGTGACATTGATAATAGACGTTCTACAACAGGGTATGTTTTTACTCTTGGGGGTGGTCATGTTTGCTGGAGATCATCAGTTCAGTCTATTGTAGCTTTGTCTACAACTGAAGCATAATACATGACTGTGACTGAGGTAACTAAAGAGGCTTTGTGGCTTTCAGGTTTGAATAAGGAGTTGGGTATTGAGCAAGATGGAGTTCAATTACACTGTGACAATCAAAGTGCCATCTTCTTAGCTAAAAATCAAGTGTACCATGCCAGAACCAAACATATTGATGTAAGGTTTCATAAGGTTAGAGAGTTAGTTGTTTCTGGTGAGATTTTGTTGCAGAAAATTCATACAAATGAGAATGCAGCAGACATGTTGACAAAGGCAGTTACTAGTGACAAGTTCAAACATTGTTTGGACTTGTTGGGTGTTTCTAAATGTTAAATGAACATGGTGGTCCTAATCCAAGGAGACTATGAGATGAGTTTTTTTCTCCTAAAGGGCTTATTTGCGAAGGTGGAGATGGTTAGATAAGTATTTTCTCCTAAAGGGCATATTCGCCAAGGTGGAGATTTGTTGAGTTATCTTTTCTCCTAGAGAGCATATTCGCCAAGGTGGAGATTTGTTGTGTTTGTCTCATATAAGGATTAGGAATATGAGTTTGTCTCATATAAGGAATAGGAGTGAAAGGGAGATTATATGCCTATAAATATATTGAATGTATCTCATCACCTGGTACACCATCACAAATAATAAGAGAATACTTTCACTCCCGTGGATGTAGGCACATTGCCGAACCATGTAAATCTTGTCTTCTTTACCTTTCTGCCATTATTATTTTTCTTGTTCTTGTTAATCTCAACAGAGAGCAAGAACAGTATTAATTTATTCACTGTAGAAAACATTCAATAAATAGAGTACAAAGCATAGGAAGAGGAAAGAAGTTACAGCAAAACCCCTAGGTTAACACAAACTAACAATAGACTAAGTTTCAACATGCCCCGCAAGATTGAGGCTCCATCGGTGAGACCAAGCATGTATCTAAACCCAATAAACAACCGGTGACCAAGTGATTTAGTTAAGAGAGACTACACATCTAACTCGTAGGGAGCCGAAGGTAACCTGCCCACGAACAAAAAAATAATCAAGGGTCAAGTGCTTCATCCGAGTGGAAAACATGATTCTTGCACACATATGAGGCACTCAAATTATCTGTAACCAGCACCGGTGTAGTCCGCATCTGAATTCCAAGCCCACGTAACAAACTCTGAATCCACATAACTTCAGCAACGGAATTGGCAAGCGCTCGAAACTCGGCTTCCGTGAAAGACCGAGACATCGAACGTTGGTTAGCATACTTCCAGGAGACAATATTAGAACAAAAAACACACAATAAGCCGTAGTGGAACGCCCCACATCACGAATACTACCCCAGTCCGAGTTTGAATAAGCCAAAAGAGAAAGAGGACAACCACGTAGAAATGCAAACCAAAATGCAGTATACCCGCAAGTAGCGCAAAACTCGTTTCACAGCTTACTAATGCAACTTAGTGCGTGATGCCATAAACTGAGCTAGGTGATTTACATCGAACGAGACATCCGGTCTAGTAATTGCCAGATATTGCAAGCGGCTAATAGCACGACGGTATTCCGTAGCATCAAAAGCCGAAGAGTCACCTACGCATAAGTCTACATAAGTACACATCGGGGTGGACACTGCTTTCGCCCACGTCATGCGAAACTGCTCCAGAATGTTGACCACGTACTGACTTTGTGACAAAAATATACCAGTTGCAGTAGTAATAACTTCAACACCCAAAAAATGATACAGTGGCCCCAAGTCCTTTAAAGAAAACAGATCTGCAAGACGTCGTACAAAGGCTCCAATAAAATAATCATCATTTCCTGTAAAGATGATGTAGTCAACATACACCAATAAATATAAAGTCACATCACGAGTGAAATAAATAAACAAGGATGAATCAGCCATCCACTTTTTAAACCCAAAAGAAATAAGAAATTTAGAGAGCTCTAAATACCAAGCCCGCAAGGCTTACTTCAATCCATAAATCTTGGGCAACTCTCGATTAACAAAGCCTGTGGGTTTGCTCCATATAAAGACCCCCTCAAACAATGAACCATTCAAAAAAGCATTGTTCATATCCAACTAGCGCAATGCCCAACCCTGTGACAAAGCAATACTGGGAATGACACGAACAGTAACTAGTTTTACCACCGGACTAAAAGTCTCAAAATAGTTCTGACCAGGTTCCTGCAAAAAACTTTTTGCGACAAGCCGAGCTTTAAACCTGTCTAACGAGCCATCAACCCC